TCCATGAAGTAGGAGGTGAACTCTGTTACGTCTTTATTCTCGTAATACCACTTTATTCTCAAAAGATTATGACTTATTCTATAATCTTTGATTTTTCTATACTCCTCAATGTGGCCCCAATATTTGTATGATATAGCCTACTTGATCGGCTATTTGTCCAGAGAATGCAGTCCCCTTTGATGGTGATAACCTGTCTGTAGATCACTAGGCCTATAGGTGAGGAGACACCTGCTGAAGAAGTCAGCCGAGAGTCAATTGAAATTCATGCATTTTATCCCATGCTGCGATAAAAATCTAGGTTCTTCTGTCATTAAACGTTTTGTTAGTGCTGCATCGTACCAACAGATGGAGCCATTTCTCAAACACGTGAAGACTGATCACACTGTAGGGCTTCACAAAATGTAAAATGTCACTGTGCATTTCAAAGTCTTTATATGACATATCACTTCCCAAATTAAATACATGAATTATTAAGCACTAATCTTTATGCTGAAGAAATGTTTTGGTCTCCAATAAAACACGTAAGTGTTCTTAATTTCTCTATTAAAGTAAGGTAATTATTCATTAAAAATGCCATAGCCTAATTAACATTTCTTTAGTTCCACTGTTTTACGGAAATTCATGAGACACTTAAATAGTAGTTAATACTTTTTTTTTTTTTTTACCTTTTGTTTATATTTACAAGGTTAATAATGTCTCACATGCATTATTAGACCCATTTAAAAACAAGGTAAATTAAATTACCCTAAATAAAACTGCGCTCAAGTTAACAACTAAAAGTCATCTTTTTGTGAAATTACTTTTTTAAATTAAACATGTGTTAAATTACTTTTTTCCTTTTCAAAAGACCATGATGAATTTATACGTTCCTGCCTTCCTGAATTGTTTATTTATAGTAGTCAAAAGTTAAAAGGTGGTTTAAGGTCTTGAAAAAAGTAGAATCCAATGAATATGATAATACTATTAAAATCCCATTATTTAATCTCAGGAGGGTGTAGAATTAGACTAATTAGAGGTGATCAGTGTAACTGGTAAGCATCTGCCAAATTAAATGTGATTTTAAATTTTAACATTATTTTGCAAGTAATTATATGTTCTTTGACCTTCAGTTCATGTGAGGATATTTATCCACAAACTTGCTCTCCAGGTAATGTAAATGAAGGAAACAAAGTATGTTGAAGTTAATTGTTTCATACCAATGACAAATACTGTAACTTCACTTTAATGTCATGTGCTGTCTGGACTTGGATGTGGTTTATTCTGACCACCAGGGCATGTCAACACATCACAAACATCTCTTTTGCAATAGGCAAAAAAATGCTCAATATGTTTCTTACATCAAACAATCTCAGCATCAGGTGATGCTGTCCTGTAGGTCTGAAGGTAAGACATCTGGTCGGGGCACTTTGGGATGGAGGTGCACGCTCTTTTGTCACCTGAATGTCTGCGCTTTGTTTTGAAATGCAAGAGAAAAGCAGCTACAACTTTTAATCAGCAGCAATTGACCACGCAATTTCATCAAAACAGTCTATTGAGAAGTTCAGAGAGAGGAACACAATAGTAGGGTTGCAGTGCTTTAACCTCTTATTACACTTAAAAATGTCATTTTTTGCAAATGAAATGGTGCAAAGAACACATGAACTGGGCTCATATAGTCTGATGAGTCACCATTCACTCTGTTGTTGAGCATGTGTGGTACACACAAAACAAGTGTCTATAAGGGGAATGTTCCCTAAGGTGAAGGGTTCTGGGTGCATTTCATGGCAAGAAGTAGAATCCCATAATAGACACAGTAAACCGGTAAACATGAAGCGACTTTGCAAAGGGTCCTGAAATGGTCACTGAATGATTTGCATGAACATGATTTGATTCACATGGCCAGATCAATGAGCTACCCAGAAAATGGCCTGGAATTGTACATTGTATAAAGGTCATGTTAAGGTCTCTGTAGTGGAGAGGAGTGGGGGTGTGACACCTGCAGCTGCTCACCGGTCCTTCTGGATCCATCCTCTTATGTTTCATCATTTGAATTGAGTGTTGGACTATATAAATACTTGACCTGACTTGATCTACCACCCACAGTGCTGTTAAAATTTTTATATTGCAGATATTGGGGTAGTAAAAGTGTATCCATTAACATATAATCTGACCAAGAAAATTATTATAAAGGCACTATTAGTTTAGCCTGGCCAGTATGAATGCACTTTGGTCAAAAGACTGCAAAGCAAGTCCTTCTGTCCTCTCCTGGATCTTTCAGATTTTG